CCCCACCTCCACAGACACGCACTGCTAATGGCTTGTGAACATTGGAGCAGAGATTCTTGTATTAGGTCCTGGGAAAGCTGTGCGGTGCAGTGATTTAGAGTTCAATGGGTGTCTCTGGGCAAATCACTTAACCTCTTTTGAGATTCTGTTCTTAACTTCTATTCTGGGAGTTAAATAAGGTAAAATAAATATATTTAGCACATCTTACTGTACCCATTGCCGTGGAGTCGATTCCAACTCATAGCGACCCTATGGGACAGAGTAGAACTGCCCCATACAGTTTCCAAGGTATGCCTGGTGGATTCGAACTGCCGACCTTTTGGTTAGCAGCCGTAGCTCTTAACCACTGCTCTTAACCACCTTAGCACAAGTTAGCTGCTCAATAAATGGAAACTATTATTATGATTATTGTTGACTCCTTGGGGGTCCATGAGCCCCCTAAAATTAGATGCAAACTCTGTTCATGTACAAAACTCTTTATCAACATACACAGTTTTTCTGGGGACACAATCAGTAGCTTTTGCCTGGGTCTAAGGGGCCTGTGAAGCTAAAAGGGTCAAGACCCCTGCCATGGATGGTGGTACTGACCCATAACCCACTGGTCCTGCCCTCACAGGCTGCCCAGCGGAAGTTGCGCCAGGCCAGCACCAATGTGAAACACTGGAACGTCCAGATGAACCGGCTCATGCATCCTATTGAGCCCGGAGGTGAGAAGGGGTAGAGCCTGGAGCTTTCCCTTGAAGGTGGAGTAAAAAGGCATCTGGGGAGGGATACCTCAAGATCTCCAGGGCCAGCAGAGGTAGGAGGACTGAAGGTCAGGAGGTTCCCTGTTCCCCCGAGGGCTGAGGCAAGGCCACTCAACCTCTTCCCTCCACACGCACCTGTCTCTACTCATACCTGCCTTCTCTCTCGCCAGACAAGCGTCCCACCACCAGCAGCTCCTTCATAGGCTTCCAGGCCCCCCTGCTTGCTCGCCGTGACTCGTCCCTAAAGCGCCTGACCCGCTGGGGATCCCAGGGCAATAGGACCCCTTCACCTATCAGCAGTGAGCGGCAGAAGTCCCTCAATGGCGGAGATGAAGCTCCCATCCCGGCTTCCACCCCTCAGGAAGATAAACTGGACCCAGCACCAGAAAATTAGCCTCTGCTAGCCATTTGTTCCCGACAGTCTCATGCCCGCTAGGACCCGGCCACAGCTGGCCTGTGGGTGACTCTGGCCCCTGCTGGTGCCAGGGGCCCAGGCCCTCTAACCATGAAACAGTCCAGGGTGGAACCTGGTTCATCTTTCGCTCCAGCCCCAGGCCCCAGACTACTGAGGCCATCTGGGATGTTAATCCTTGAGAACTTGGCCATGTGCCTTAGCCCCAAGGACCCAATGACCTGGTCTGGGAAAGAGAGTGAAAAAAGCAGGAAGGAGGAGGCATCTGCCCCAGGCTGACCCCAAGTTATGGAGGCACATTTCTAAATAAAAACTGCTCTTGGAATGAATTATTGGCTCAGGTCTGCTGTCCATCTCTTTTTCCCTCAAGTCCAGTTATAGGTATTCATAGGGGCAGATTAACCAGTAAGCAAGGTATGCATGGGTTTACAATAAGCAAGGTACGCACGGACTTAAACTTGAGTTTACCTACTAATCTGTGGTGCACAATTTCACATGGATGAGAAAAATAGGTGAAATTGTGTACTACAGATTAGTAAGTAAGCACAAGTAAGCTCGTGCATACCTTGCTTATTCGGTAGTCTGTCCCTGGGTATTCAACTATGAATACATGAGCTAACTACGGGAAAAAAGTAGCACATTCATTCATTTAGAGATATATCTCCAATGTATTTTTAGTATTTGTGTTCAATATTTGTAAAAACTATAATATTCATGTTGTTTTGCTCAATTGGATATTCCTAATATTTGTAATGGCCACTCAAGCCAGAAGAAAATTTCTCACTTAGAGCTTTCTAGTTACATGGAACTTAAAAATTTTTAACCTCAACTTACATACATATTTTGGTTGCAGAGATGTATGTTACGGTGATGAATAAAAGACTTTCATGCATAAAAATATGTTACATTAATTTTTGAGGGGAAAGTGGAATGGAAATACAAGTTCAAGGAGAGAAAGGGTATCTTAGTTATCTAGTGCTACTATAACAGAAATAGCACAAGTGGGTGGCTTTAACAAACAGAAATTTCTTTTCTCACAGGAGGCTAAAAGTTCGAATTAAGGTCGCCGGCTCTAAGGGGAAGGCCTTCTCTCTCTGTCAGTCTGGTGGAAGGTCCTTGTCTTTTTTCAGCTTCTGTTCCTGGGTAATCTTCACATGGCTTGGCGTCTATCTTCCCCATCTCTGCTTGCTCACTTCCTTGCTTAATCTGCTCTTTTATATCTCAAAAGAGATTGACTTAAAACACATTCTACACTAATACAGCCTCATTAACATAGCAAAGAAAACTCATTCCCAAATAGGATTATAACCACAGTAAAAACAAAACAAAAAACCAAACCCATTGCCATGGAGTCAATTCCAACTCATAGTGACCCTACAGGGCAGAACAGAACTGCCCCATGGGGTTTCCAAGGAGCAGCTGGTAGATTCAAACTGCCAGCCTCTTGGTTAGCAGCCAAACTCTTAACCACTGTGCCACCAGGGCTCCAGCCACAGGTATAGGGGTTAGGATTTACAACACATATTTGGGGAGGACATAATTCAATCTCTAACAAAGGGACAGTGTAAACTTTCTGATTACTAAAGAAGAATTTATTTGTGTATTTTTTAAATGAATGATGGCGAGTATCAAATCATTATGGGATTTGAGTCTTACTGGATACATTTAAAAGGGTAATATAGCAGTTTTATTTTAAAATGTTAATATTTATAATATACTAGAAATTACATCCTCTGCAACTATTAAATTTTAAACTAATGATGAAACATTTTAGGTGTCACTATATCATACCTCAACCATCAATGCCTCCCTGTGTCCCACCATGTAATGTTAAAAAACCTGGAAAGGACCCCATTTACAGGTGAGGAAATGAGGCCACAAGTCTAAACTCTGCCTAGCTTTCAAAATCTGTATAATCAGGCTCACCCTACCTTTCTAGTCATGAGTTCGCCATAGCAGTGGTCTTTAAAAAATTTTGCCCAGGTAACTCCTAAGAGAATGTATAAGAACCATGCAGCTCCTTCTACATTTTTAAGGTGACATCTGAAATATTTCACCATTAGTTTAAAAGTTAATAGTTGCAGAGGATGTAATTTCTAGTATTTTATAAATATTAACATTTTAAAATAAAACTACTATAAACCAAAACCAAACCTGTTGCCGTTGAGTCGATTCTGACTCATAATGACCCCATAGCACAGGGTAAAACTGCCCCATATGGTTTCCAAGGAGCAGCTGGTAGATTTGAACTGCTGACTTTTGGTTAGCAGCCAAGTTCCTAACCACTGCACAACCAGGGCTCCCAAAGAGCAACTGCCCAAACAGGGACTTGAACCCTAGACCCTCAGATTAAAAGTCTGATGCTCTGCTAACTGAACTATCCAGGCCCTTTGAAAGGTAGGGTGAGGCCTGATTACAGAGATTCTTGAAAGCTTGGCAGGGTTTAGACTTGTGGCCTCATTTCCTTACCTGTGACTAGGGTCCATTCCAAGTTTTTTCATGTTCTATGGTGGGACACAGAGAGGCATTGATGGTTGAGGTATGATGTAGTGAAAGATCACCCTGATGCCTGAATGCAATCCACACTGGGAATGGCATAAGAAGCTGTCAGCCTTGGGGGACATTGCTGAGTGCAGGAGATATTTTCCAGTCTTATAAACCCAGGGTTAGAAAATAACTCCTCTGTCCTTTCCAACATGCTGGACAAAGAAGAGTGTGTCTTGTCTCTGATGCCCTCAGACATACCGATAAGCTCTGGGGCCACATAAAGTGCAGACACTGTGGTCCCAGGTGGTGACCTCTCTCTGTATGTGAGAAGGGGTGGGAAGGTGGGCTGACTGGCTGGGGTACAAGAGGCACACTGGGAACTGAGTGTTGTGGGATATGCAAGTTGCCTCCTCCTCAAGCTCACTGTTTGCCCAGGCAAAAGGGCTGAAGTGCCCGCAGAGTTGCCTCTCTCTGGCCTGACTTACAGTGACCCTATAGGGCAGACTAGAACTGCCCTAGAGGGTTTCCAAGGCTGTAATCTTTATGGAAGCAGACTGCCACATCTTTCTCCCATGGAGCAAGCAATGGTTTGAACCAATGACCTTTCAGTTCACAGCTGAGCGCTTAACCACTGTGCCACTAGGGCTTCTTGGCTGAACACCAGGAGATACAAATTTTTGCTCCATTTAAGGAAGATTTTTCTATCTTAAAAACCAAACAAATCATGTTTCCACTATAGGGGAAAAGTGCTAAAAATAAAAATATAGAAATGAAATAACTCACAGAATCACAACCCAAAGGCAATGCTGATAACATTTTAGTGTTTCCTTCCAATTGTTTTTCCATACTCATTTTTAGATTTTAGTTTTCCAAACTGTGATTTTGCTCTATTAGTATACCCATATTCTGCCTTTTCTCACTTAATATTAGAACACAAAATTTTCCACTTTATTACAAAGCCTTTGTAGGCATTGTTTTTAATGGATGCATAATATTCCATCACAAGGACACAGCATAATTTACCTAACCATTTCTCTGTTGTTGGACAATTAGTTATTTCTAGTTTTTTTGCTGTTAGAAATAATGTTGCGATGAGCATTTTTGTTTGTATTTAGAATTATTTCCTTAAGACCGATTACCCAAAATGGAATTATGAAGTGTAATATATATATATATGTAAATATATATACATATATTTATGTATATACACTTTTTTTATATATGAAAATGAAGTGGAAACTGTAATACCTTAACAGTTCCCCCAGAATTTCTTTTAGGGAGTGTGTTAGTAATCTAGTGCTGCTATAACAGAAATACAGGTGGATGGCTTTAACAAACAGAAATTTATTTTCTCACAGTTTAGGGGGCTAGAAGTCTGAACTCAGTGTACCAGCTCTGGGGGAAGGCTTTCTCTCTCTGTCGGCTCTGGAGGAAGGTCTTTTTCTCTTTGAGCTTCTGCTCTCATGTAGCTTGGCATCTGTCTTCCCCATCTCTGCTTACTTATTTGCTTGTTTAATCTCTTCTATATCTCAAAAGAGATTGACTCAAGGCATGGCGCCCTACACTAATCCTGTCTCATTAACATAACAAAGACAATCCATTCCCAAATGGGATTATAACCACAGGCTTTGAGGTGAGGATTTACAACACATATTTTTGGGGACACAATTCAGTCTTCAACAGGGAGGGAACTGTCTTTGGGGAAATAAGCCTCTTAGGGGTAAAAAGTGAGATGTTCAGAGCATGAGTGTTGGCAGGAACCCAAGTAATGAAGAGAGGTTAGGATGTCTCTTTCTGCCTGGAAAGCCAGAGAGGGTGGGAGAGAGGAGAGAATGGTGAGGCAAAGAGGAGAGGGAAGTAGAAAACAGTAAGTTGGGAAAAGGCCAAGCCCTAAGGAGTGAAGGGCCAGTTAGAACACCCCAGTGGAGGGGTGCAGAAAGGACTTTAAACAATGTCTTATGTATGAGTTAAAATGTTTGTCATGCAGCATGTGACTTTCTGTCCCAGGGCCCCAGAGCATCATAATGTCTTCTATATTCATGAATGCTTTGTGTGGGAAGAGGTGTGGGCAGTCCTCAGGAAAGGCTGAGTTTCATCTTCGGATTTCTAAACTGTGGAACAGCAACAGCCTGGCAAGGAGCAGGAGTTGGGAGGCAGAGGTATTTAGGAAAATATAAGTCCTCAGAAATTGGCAGAAATCTTACGGAGGGCTTTGGATTCCCAGACCTTGGCATTGGGGATTTGAGCTACTCTTATTTCAATCTCAAAGGGCAAGGAGGTTGACATCTAGATTACAAAAGTAATGCACACTCACTTCAAAAAGTAGGAACAAAAAAGAGCCAAAAGAAGAAAAAATCATTAGTTCCACCATTCAGATAGCTGAGGGGTATTGTCTGAGGAGTGTGTGCAAGAGAGGAGAGGTTAACCTTTACTTTAAAGATGAGGAGGGAGTTACCCATTGATCATATACATAAGAGTCAAGTTTTGTTCATCACCAGAGAACAAAGCCAACTTCTCTCACCAGACTGCTTCCTGGTTGCTAGGTACCTTTTAATGATACATCTTAAGGGACAGGCTGGGATGGACAGGACCCTTTCAGGTCCTAAAGACCTGGGCTAGAAAGTGAGAACAAAAGCTGGGTGGGGGTATACGATTGTTCTCTTTGTTGCTATACGCTGCTGTTTGGAGTACTTAGTAAAGTGATGTGTATATAAGTTAAAAAAAAAAGTGAAAACAATTTTCTACAACAGTAGGGAGGATACGCCTCATTTAGGTGGGCGAGCATAATACATAAGCACATAGGAAGATAGGTAAGAACTCCAGGACCGGAAGCTTCCAGTTGCAAAAGTCTCTCAAAGAAGGAAACTCCTTTCATCAAAATTACAGGCAGCATGGTCTCCTCCAGTGAATAGAGCTCTGGATTAAGATACAGAGACCAGGGTTCTAGCCTCAGCATTGCTTCTTACTGCAAGTCACGCATCCTCTCTGGGGCCAAGTCTCTTCACTGGAAGGATGAGGAGGTTGTACTAGATGACCTCTAAATTCCCTTCCAACTTCAAATTCCCTTTCGTGATACTTGATCGACTTGTTTTACCGGCCCGGGAACTCTCTTGCTCCTCCCCAGCTCCTCCCTCAGCTGGCCGCTTCCACATCCTGCACCAGAGGGCGCTGCAGGCGGGCCCAGCACAGGGTGTGGTGGGCGGAGTCGCAGAGTCAGGGAAGTCGCCAGAAGGCGCAGTGATTGGCGGCGGCCGGGGCGGAAAGGGGCGTGAAGAGGGAGGGTCGAGCCGCGCGGAGACATCACGCTGATGGGGGCGGGGCTGGGCCGCGCAGTATGTGACGCTGCGGCCACAGCAGCGCTGGGGTTTAATGGGAAAAGTTTTGGCAGTAGCCAGAGGATCCTGCGGAGCGTGCGGGACGGTGGCAGCGGCACGGGAGGTGGCCGGGACAGGTCAGTCCAGGCCGAGGGAAACGTGTGGGCAGGTGGCGGAGAGAAGCGGCAGGCCCAGACCGAGACTGCCTTCGGGGTTGGGGTGCAAGGCCCAGCGGGGGTGTGTGGGGAGCGATTGGGGTCGGCGGACCGCACTGCGGCCGCTTCCCGACGCTCTGGCTCGGGCAGGTCTGCGGTCTTGCGTTGCCGTCTGTGCCGCCCCGCTGCCCCTGCTCCCCAGCCTTTGGATCTCCATCGCTGTTTGAGCCGAACCCCGGGCCTCCTCCACCAGATTCTGTGTCCCTTCTTGGGCCTCGTGGCTCCGTCTCCTCCCACTTCTATGCACTGAGTGCCCTGTTACGGGGCTCGGGGTCCTCTCTCACTCCTCACTCCTGCGTCTCCTTCTCTTCACCGCTGCTCTGGTGTCCCCAAATCCCTGGGTCAGAGCTCCATTGCCCCCATCTCTGCCCAGGCTCTTCTTGGGGGTCCTCTCCTCTTTGCTCCTCTGTCCCACCCCCTTGTCTTCTGTCTTCATTCTCCCGTCCCTACCGGCTCAGTCTTTGCTCTTTTCCCATCCGTTTGCTCCTTCTCCCATTGTCTTTGGCCCGTATTCCCATCGTCTTTTCCCAGGCGTTATTAGGCTTTTCCAGCCCCTGCCTGCAAACCGTGTCTACCTAAGCTCTTTTTACGCTGGTTCCCTCCAGAGGCCCTGTTTTTGCTCTGATTTCCCTCATATGAGCCCCTGTTCTCTGCGTTCCCGTAGCCCACCTCCTTTTCTCTCCCAGTTCCTTGCCTCTGCTTCAGGAAGAAGCATTAGCTCTGCACACTACCCTGCTTTCCCATGACCTACAGTTGAGATGCCCATAGGGTGGAGTGGGGTCTTCAGCCCCTGACTGAGGCTAGTGGCTGAATGTCTGAAGTAAATAGCAGGTATGTCTGTGTGGGAGAACTTGCCAGGGTATTGCATCAGGGATGATGCCCAATCGGTATTCTTCTAATCTCACCTTTAATACTTCCCATTTATGGGCCTGTGGACTTCCAGGAACCCTTGGGGAGAGACTGGCCACTGAGTTGGGTGAGTGCCAGGGGTGGCTGGAGGCCTCTTCCAACTGTTTTCCCCTTCTAGGAAACAAGGCTCTGTGCCTTTTCACTCTGGAAGTATCAAACGCATTTCAACCATGATACCCTAGCCTACCTCTCACCCACCCGTCCACCCTGTACCCAATCCCAAAAAGCTAAGGGGAGTCTCCAGAAGGTATGCCCCAGAGAATGCCTGAGGTCTTCAACCTTTTTCCTCTGTACTGGCTCCAGAACATTGTTTTCCTGTGTGGGTTTTGAAATGGATTGCTGTCCTCATAGCCCTGGGGCTGGCCGGCATCTGTCTCTTTTATTGTTGGTGGCTTGGAACCAGCTGCTCATTTTCCCTCGCACATCCCTGACTAAATGTGCCAGGGCCTCTCATGTCGGTCA